TCGTAAAATTCAAGTGCTTTCGAGTAGTTACCCATGTAGTTATACGCAAGACCGATGTTGTTGTAGGAAGTAGCCAATGAGGGATGATTCGGAGGCAGAGATTTTTCTCTTATTTTAAGTGATTTGTCGTAAAATTCAAGTGCTTTCGAGTAGTTACCCATGTTTGTATACACTTCACCGATGTTGTTGTAGGAAGTAGCCAAATCGGGATGATTCGGAGGCAGAGCTTTTTCTCTTATTTTAAGTGATTTGTCGTAAAATTCAAGTGCTTTCGAGTAGTTACCTATGCTGTTATACACTCCACCGATGTTGTTGTAGGAACTAGCCAAATTGGGATGATTCGGAGGCAGAGCTTTTTCGTTGATTTTAAGTGATTTGTCGTAAAATTCAAGTGCTTCCGAGTAGTTACCCATGCTGTCATACGCTCCACCGATGTTGTTGTAAGAAGTAGCCAAATCGGGATGATTCGGAGGCAGAGATTTTTCGTTGATTTTAAGTGCTTTGTCGTAAAATTCAAGTGCTTTGGAGTAGTTACCCATGTTGTTATACACGTTACCGATGTTGTTGTAGGAAGTAGCCAAATCGGGATGATTCGGTGGCAGAGATTTTCCGTCGATTTTAAGTGCTTTGTCGTAAAATTCAAGTGCCTTCGAGTAGTTACCCATGTTTCTATACACTTCACCGATGTTGTTGTAGGAAGTAGCCAAATCGGGATGATTCGGAGGCAGAGATTTTTCGCCGATTTTTAGTGATTTGTCATAAAATTCAAGTGCTTTCGAGTAGTTACCCATGTTGTAATACACTGCACCGATGTTAGCGTAGGTAGGAGCCAATGAAGAATGATCTTCTGAAAGAGTTTTTCGCTTGATTTCAAGTGATTTTTCATAAAATGAAACTGCTTCTTTGTATTGTCCTTGATCGTTTTTCAAGAATCCAAGCATATGATATATTTCTGCTTTATCCGTATCGCTGGACGTGTTCTTCAGTAATTCGTTGTAAAGTTCTTCAGCTTGATTTAAGTGACCACCTTTGAGCATTAGATGACCCAGTTGATGCCATCCTGTGGATCCATAGAGTTCCCCTTTTATGCGTTCAGTAAGAGTAGCCAATTGTGGATCATTGTCGCCTGTGAGAGTCAATTGTACTTCCCATAGGCGACTGTTGCTGACCGTCTGTTTGATGTCATCGACACGAAAAACAGTATGCATTGAGAATAAAATTTCTTTTTCACTTTCGATAGCACTGTATTCGTCGATAAGGGCAAATGGAGTAGTGGCAGCTGAAACTTCACTTGAATCAATTGTCATGATGAAAATAACACCCACGATGTCTTTATTCTTGTGCATGGTATGTTGAACAAATTCCTCAGCGACCTGTTGCTTTGTACTGGTCGACAAGAAATTATTAAACGAGAGAAGTCCACCTTTCGAGTCGACTAAATGTTTAAAATCCTGTTGTGAAAGCCCCTGGCCTCGATAAACGATGAGCTTTGTCATAGAGGCACCCGATTGTTCTCGATGAAGTTTCTCTAATTGTCTATGGAGCGAGCGAATGAAGAAACCCATTTTTGTCATGGCTTCCATGT